GCCAAAAAAGCAAAAAAGAAACGTCTCGGAAAGAAGTGAACATGCAATAGCCGTGCAGACATCCATCCTTCTGTTAGCTAACCACATACTGTAAAGGAACAGGAGGTGGTGCACTAAGAAATCAATCTTGAACCAAATTCAATATTCAATTTATTTGGTACCTGTGCTGCTTTAGGCTGTTTGTCTTTCTTACATAACACCAATGGTAAACCTGCTTGACCTGGTTTGACTGCACAGCTGTTTCCATTTAAACAGAGTCTATTTTTTTCACATCACTGCCTGCAGCACAATTTTTTTTTTCTTTGTCAACAAACAGGCCGCTCAGCCAATCACACGCGCCTCACAGGGAGGCAAAGGAGAACCAATAGGAAGGTTTGGGGTGTTTTTTTCAACACAAGCCAGGATGTGAGTGACTTAACACTTGGTGGCGAGGATGAAAATTCCCTTTAAAAAAAGCGAACCAAATGTCTTATGAATGTTTGGCAGCGACATGTTTGAAAGTGCTGCCTTTTAGAATTGAGGGATTAGGGTTAGTTTATTCTTACACATTTTAGAAACACACACAAGAAATATCTTTGCTTTCACAGCCAAGAATATGTCAAAAATAAGGTAATTATTCTATGGAAACTTCAAAACAAGTTGTCTTGAGTACATTTAGACTCACTTACATGAGAGAGCATGAGAGAACAGGACATGCTTGTATATGGCCAACAGTGTGCTGGCAAACGCTCACCTTGTTGCAGGATGTACAGTATTTTAATACACTTGCTCCACCTGGCAGGCAGTCGGGAGAATGCAGTACATATAACATGGGCGAGCAAAGGGTGTAATTCTGATTTAGGATGTGGTGAGGAGACAATTTAATGGTTTTTCTCCATAAAAATATAATCTCTTTTCTCCAGTGTTAAATTACACTGACTTTTCAAAGCCTCTAAATACAAACTTTAGTACACAGGTTTAGAATATATTCCTAGCAGTGTACACATACAGTGTCTACTCTAAATGCACTCATAAATCATTGGCAATTTTTTTATTAGGATACTTAATTATGTGTTTTTTTTTCTTGTCCATTCCAATTGATGAAAAATGACAACAAATTGTCTGAATAGACCTTTGGTCGACAGAAAAACACAAGATTATTTATTTGTCATGAATGGTTAACTCACATAAATGAATAATGTGATGCTTTAAAACACACTGCATAAATACACTCACAAGCCACTTTATTAGGAACACCTTGCTAGTACCAGGTTGGACCCCTTTTGCCTTCAGAACTGCCTTAATTCTTGGTGTCATAGATTCAACAAGGTGCTGGAAACATTCCCCAGAGATTTTGGTCCATATTGACATGATGACATCTCACAGTTGCTGCAGATTTGTAGGCTGCACATCCATGATGAGAATCTCCCGTTCCACCACATCCCAAAGGTGCTCTGTTGGACTGAGATCTGGTGACTGTGGAGGCCATTGGAGTACAGTGAACTCATTGTCATGTTCAAGAAACCAGTTTGAGATGATTTGAGCTTTGTGACATGGTGCGTTATCCTGCTGGAAGTAGCCATCAGAAGATGGGTACACTGTGGTCATAAAGGGATGGACACGGTCAGCAACAATACTCAGGTAGGCTGTGGTGTTTAAACCATGCTCAGTTGGTACTAAGGGGCCCAAAGTGTGCCAAGAAAATATTCCCCACACCATTACACCACCACCACCAGCCTGAACCGTTGATACAAGGCAGGATGGATCCATGCTTTCATAATGTTTACACCAAATTCTGACCCTACCATCTGAATGTGGCAGCAGAAATCCAGACTCATCAGACCAGGCAACGTTTTTCCAATCTTCTATTGTCCAGTTTTGGTGAGCCTGTGTGAACTGTAGCCTCAGTTTCCTGTTGTTAGCTGACAGGAGTGGCACCTGGTTCCTTATTTTTTGAAGTATTCCAAGAAACAGTATGTTGTAAGTGTTGTCCTGAGATGAATATTGTGTGCACATAATCAATAAAATGCATTATAAGATAATTGTTTCTCTAGAAAATCAAATCAGAACAGTATTTCCATAGTTTTTCATGTTTCATATGATTTTTGACATATGTTAGTAATAGAACATTTCATGTTAACTTTAAACACAGTATAAACACAAATTATGTACTTTAACAATATGATTAATAGACTAAAATGTACCTTGCACTTCCTCCTTGCCTCACAGTTGGCCATGCTTGTTGAAAAAGAGCACGCGGTTCCACTGCAGTCCACTTTAGATGACACTGTGATTGGCTTATAGACACCTCATCAAATACACCCGTGCACTTGGGTGGAGTCAGATGACAGTAATCTTAGTTCTGGACATGCTAGAAAATCAATCTTGGAACAAATTTAACACTAAATGTACATCCTAATGTTACCTGCACTGCTTTAGGCTGTTGTTGCCAACAGCTGGACCCGAATGGTAAACCTGCACCTCCTGTTCTAATGCAGCCACCAGAGGGAGTGGCTGGGGTATACTTTATATCAATTTTTATATCAATGAAAAAAAAATCTGTGTTACTAAATTCTTACATTTTTACATGTATCTCACCATAGCAAGTTGGAAGTTGACATATTCTGCCATATATGAATAGGGAAGACTCTCTGGAATCTGGCAATATAAGTAGAGATGGGATTTATGGCTCTTTGAGGGGAGCCGGATCTTGGTGAGCTGTTCCTTTCAAAGAGCCGTTCAAAAAACTGGCTCATTTGACTGATTTTTATATTTATTAAGTTTTAAGAAGCCAGCCTGGTGGTAACTCATTTTATCTTGGAAATAATCACTGGGAGGTATGATGGGGTAAGATTTGGAACAAATAATACAAAATAAGATATCCCACCAATATCTGAGTTTGAATTATTCTGAAATATTGATTATAACCTCATTTGACATGTGTGGACTAGATTTTAAAGTCTGATCTGGATTCATTGTAAATATTCCACAAGGTTGCGCCATATCACTCTGCTTTGACAGTGACATCACTATTTTGGATTTACCCTTTATACAAACTGTTTGTATGTGTGTAAAGCTACCATGACTTGTTATTCATGCAACACCGTGACCTTAACACTTACAAATAAACATTAAAAAACAAAGCAGGCTACAATGAATTTTGCTCAGGGGAGGAGCAAAGGAGGAGCACACAGTGATATTGAAAAAAAAAAAAAAAAAAAAAAAAGAACGGTTCCCAGCTGCGACTCGGTTCCCATCGTTCATGTTAACGAGCCGTTCAATAGAATCGGTTCGTTCGTGAACGTCACAACACTAAATATAAGAACCATGATGGTTGGACATTCTGTCACTTCACAGTTGTCCAAAACATGTGGTTTGTGCCAGGCGGACATGATTGCCAGTATTTTTTCATTATTGCAAGAAATTCCATTGACGCATTCACAAGTCAAAAATGTGTTTTATCTGAAAGAAACATGCAATATTTACATCTAAGATCATAGAAAAATAGTAATGATATTATTCCTCACTATATGAAGTGACTGATAACAAGATCTGTATAATGGATTGTGAAGAAATTCATCAGGTTTTTATTTTGTAGACAGTTGATCATGTGATATGCATGGCATTTCTGTGCGACCCTGCATTCGCGAGTAATCCATACAAGAGTAATGTGTGTGCAAAGCTGTATGAAAGCTTTGTTATACATAATTTTAGTGTAACTTTATAATTCTTTCGCTGTTTCATGTGATATGAGTGGCTTCTCGCTATGACGTATGGTTGCGGAGAAAATCCATAGAGAAAAACAGGTGTGAGTTTGGACACACTTTGCATCGTTTGGGTCTATAGGGTTAAGCCTGATTTATGGTCCTGCGTTAAATCAACGACGTACCTACGTCGTAGGGTACGTGGCTACGCAGGAGGCTCGCCGTAGCCCCCGGCATAGCCTGACGTGCACCTCCCAAAAAATGTAACTACACGTCGTCGAGGCAACACAGACCCAACGCAGACCGAGAGGGCAGTGATTGGTTTGCTTGGTAGCAACGCATTTCCGGTTCTGTATTTCCAGATTGCGCCATCCCCGCCATCTTTAAACATGTTGTTGTACACGGACGGAGCATGGATCAAGTCGAGGAGTGACTCATTGAGGAAGTCAGAAAATATGAGCACCAACAACTCCAACTCCAGCAAGATTCTCTCTCTCTCGGTCGCCATTGTTCACTGTGACCGGAAAAGCCGGAAGCTAAACAAAGAATCAACTAGAAATGACGATAACCTTTCAGGAAAGGAACGCAGCCCCCTACCGCTCTGGCGGTGAATTGCACCACTACGAAATGGAGTGACGGAGAAGTTCGAAGGGTTTACGACGGCGTCACTGCAACGACGTAGGCACGCCGTTGATTTAACACAGGACCATAAATCAGGCTTTAAACACTGGATCATTCAAGGACCTGTGGAGCTGGTTTATGGGGAGATTAAAACATCAAACCAAAGGCACGCACATCTCACCGTGGGAGGGCAGGTGCTGAGTCGTTAGTCGTAGATGAAAAAGGGTGAATGAGAGCACACAGCTCGAAACGTACATCACGGTGCAATAAATAATATTTTTTTCTGCAAGGAGTCCTGCAGTGTTGCGAGTGGGCAAGATTTCCAGCATGATGTATATATATATATAATGATATTAAAAATAGTGTGGACACATTCCCATTATTGCACCTAAGTGTTCCTGAGCAGGTCAAGTGTGCTAATCAAACTGGGCAACAACAAATAAAACAATATAAAGGTGGAGTTTAATTCATGCACGGATAAGCCTACAGTGCCTTTAGTCACTAGTATTGGAAAGAACAGAGACATTTCCATTGAGGAAGCGTTGACAGGGATATGTGCACTGGAGAACACAGCAGGTGATGTCTGATGAATGTTTAATAAGCCCATGCTTGTTTCCCTCCACAGCAGTGACACCAGATACCTACTGTATCAACTACACCTGCAATAACTGCCATAAACAGACAAGGAAGCCCAGAGCAACTTCACTGTTTTAATTTATTTACAGGAAGCACTGAATTGATCTTTGAAAACCAGTTACAGAGATACAATAACACATTTTACATTCATGTTTAAATGAATGGATGTTCCACTGGCCTTATACCTGCAGCATCTGTTTTCAGGGTCGGCTGTGTCACATGTAACATATATATACTGTAAATGTCATATGTATAAAAGACATATGAATCTATTAAGGTGCTACAAACATTTTAAGGCTTTGCAGTCAATCTTCTTTAGTCCTCTGCTTCATCTTCTTGCCCTTTGCCCTTGCCTTTCTTGCCACCCCTGCCTGTCTTCGCGTGGAAGTAGCATTTAGCGAGCATAGACACACACCGACAGAACTCGCGGAAGTTGACCATGCCATCGTGGTTTTTATCCAGCAACTTAATGGCCTCCTCGATGTCAACTGTATTGATTTTTTCCTGGAAAACACAATGATAGAGTTAAACAACAGAACACCTGAGCGACGAATAAAAAGCAGCATGTATTTTAAGAATAGCATCATGTAAAGTGAGTGTGCTGAGTCTCTTACTTTGAACTCTTCGCTTTTTATTTCTGAGTCCAGCAACTTCTTCAGCTCTTCTTGACTTAACTGGTTTTTCTTGCCCACATCATCAGCATACTCCGTAAATATATCCACAATGTTTCTAATGGCTGTTTCCAGGCGAGCATCCATGGCTGTAGCTGGAGAAAAAAAAGTTATTTATAGTGAGGAAATACCCCTAGAACACGTTGGATTAACAGAAACTGTATTGTCAGATAACATGTAAGACTAACAGCATTCAGGATGTAAAAGTCAGAGGTTCAAAATTAACACCATATGGTTGAAAAATCCCCAGAGCATTGAATAAAGCTATAATAAATTACATAACTCTCAAGCTTTAGCTTCAGCAATCATGTCAGTTTACATTCCAGCATTTCAACTGCATCTCTCACACTCAGCTTCTGACCTGTATGCTGCTGTTTTCTTTCTTTCCCCCACCATCAGCGACATCTAGCTTTCCATCAGTACTCACCTCAGAGTTCACGTTTCCCCCGAGTGAAGAGAGATCACGTCTGTGTCAATGGCTAACCCAGGTGAGACTGTTGTCAGACTGTGGGGGAAAGCCTCCTCTTAAAGGTTCGACACACACCCACACCCCCACACACACACACACGCAGGGGCTTATACACCACAGCAGCAGCAGTGATTCATGCTGAGGACATGTGATCCACTCCCAAACTCGCTTTACCAGTTTTGTGTCAAAACTGAGCCAAAAGACGTAGACCATCTTTATATTTGTGTTACAATAACGCAAAGGGTTGCCTTTGTTGACATTGCATGTGCGTGTTGGTGAATAGCTGGTTAAGACCATCTAAGGCGTGGCTCTTCATTGAGGAGCTGCTTAGTGCCGCTGTCTGGAGAAAATATGTCAGGGCAAATGGAAAGTTACAGTGAGTGGGTTTCAGCCCAGCCCAAAGTGGTGAATTTAAAGCAATGACTCATAGCTGTGTAAGTGTGTGTGTGTGTGTGTGTGTGTGTGTGTCTATCCGTCTGTCTCTCTGTCTGTGTAACTGTCTCTCTGTTTGTGTTTGAAGTCATTTGTCTGCATGCCTGCATGTTTGTCTCATCTATCCTAGAGTTTTGCTAACGTTCTATATTAATAAGATTATATTCAATCTAATATTGGCAACCCCTTAAACGCTTTGAAAACATTGGCCATGATAAGACAACCAAAACAATGCTTCATGCAACTCTAGCAAATCTAAAAGCGATTTATTTTATTCAAAAGACTCTGAACATCCAAGAAAAGTGGGTATTTTCATGCCATTTCAAACTAGTATTTAAATGAATGCATGTTTCTCACTTGAATTGATCTGTGATGGCTGAATAGTTACTGCACTCCTGCTGTCATCAAAAATCAGAGTAGAAACCAACTGAATGCCTCATTTTACAGCAGTAAATGTTTAACTTTAGTTCAACTAAACTAAATAAAAGTCACAAGTCTGCTGGGTATGAGCCTCAAAGTGTGTCAGTGTGAGTGTCCTGACTGTTCTCACACATTCTTCACTCCCCATTCACCCCGCTCTACGGTTATGTAACCCAACCTCCATTTTCCACTCGTCTGTTCCAAGGCAGCAGAAAGGAAGCATTTTCTTCCTCTCCTCCCCTTGCTTGCCCCCTGCCAAGTCCCCTTTTATAGGTCAGTTCACTCTGCTCAGCTCCAGCCTCTCTTCACTTTGGCCATATTACTTTCACTTATTGAATACGATCAGATTCTCCTTGCAGGGTGGGGGGGAGAAAATAGAGACGGAGGATCATGTGGTGTTAATTACAAAAAAAAAGTTCATCTTTCCGCAGTCTGCTGGCTGGGGTGTGAGTTACAGTTTCATTCACTGCTGGAGAGCTTCTGTATCTCTGCAGTCTGCGCCATGAACATGAGCTAAACTCTTTGTTTTACTGTCCAGTCTCAGAAGTCAGTGTTTAAAAAGACAGTTTTTTAAAGATGCATCATGCATATTACATTTTCTAATATAATTCAGCAGATGCATGCTGTTGTGGCTGCAATATCTTCATGATCAGTATGACATCACCTGTCAAAGTGTAAACAGCAGCAAGAAAAAGTGAATTCCCATCACATAACAGGTGCATGATTTTTTTCTGACAGTGTTTGGGTGTGGGGTACATCAAGACTGCTCCTTTAAGGACAAAGTCAGTTAACTGAAAAATTAGAAAATATTTTACATGAGTTTAGCACGTACAGGATGCATAAACCAACAAAATCTGACTGACAAGCAGATGACACTGCTTGCAGACAGGGTGTAACTCAAAGCAACTCGCGCTTACTATGCATAACTTTAAGCCTTACTAAAATGTAAACAGGTGAGTTACGTAACAATTCACACCCGTCCCCGTACAGCTGTTATGTATGGGGAAATTAGCTATAAGGACCAAGATGATTTTTTTGTACTAGGCTGTAAACATATGTATTTCTGCTATAAAGCTGGGCATTTTAAGATGGGGGTCTGTGAGGATTGACTTGCTTCTGGAGCCAGTCTCAAGTGGCCATTAGAAGAACTGCAGTTTTGGGCACTTCCCCATTGGCTTCATTTTTCAGCCCTGGAGGCTGACACTTGATTTTGCTCGCTATTGAGGCTCAGGGGCCAAACTATATATCTAACTATAACAACCCTAGATTATCTGAAGCCTTGTTGCCTTTTCTTCAGGCTAATCATTGTTATTTCTGGATGTATGCCTCCAGCAAGCTTGTGAAAAATGTTGGCTAATTCTACCCAGGAAGCCAAAATGACCCAGCCCAGCATTAGCTGGAAATCGGCAGGAAGAATTTATTTGAGCAGCGTCTGGTTGCACAACTTGGCTGATACTCGGGCTATCAATGCTAGCTCATAACACTGGCAAGCTGGCAGTGGCTTTCAAACTTTTTGTGCCCAAGACACACCAAAGGGAAAGCCAAAATCTAAAGGCACACCTGTATTTATATCTGTGCACAATAGCCTCTATAATGCCCCATATATGTTTGTTTTTATTTACCAATATCAAATAACAATTGACAGCCAGCTACTACTCATGAAATATTTAACAAAATGATTCAAGAGTTAATTTTAAACTTTTTAAAAATGCATCAAAGCATGAATAATACATCAATTTAAACGGGAAATAATATAAAATAATATGATGTGTCACACACTTATAATTCCCACGCACGAACAGTGACAAAAAGGTTCCCAGTTAAGGTTTTTTAAATTAAATTAAATTAAATTAAATTACATTTTTTAGGTAGAGTTTGCCTCTTTATTAGGAAATGTGTGTGCACAACATACTGATACAGTCAGTTAAAAATTCATTCAGAATCTTTTGTACAGGCCCAGTTGATTATTGCAGTAATAATGTGTGATTACCACAAAATCCCACTGCACACCTGGATTTGCATCATGGCACACCAGTGGAGGGTATGCACAGGTATATGGGGTAATTTTTTGACTGTTTACAGCATACCCAACCAAAATAAGGTCCCACTTCCTCCTCGAAACATACCCATCTACCTAGTAGTACATCCACTTCTTCAACTACACAACACCACTGACTAAATAATGTTTTGAGGCAGGATGCCAATGAAGGTTTTCACCCACTTTCTGAAGGTTTAACTTTACATTTGTACTTCAAAGGAGGATTATTTTTTCTCAAAACCATTTGTGTGCCTTTTTTATGTAAAACTAAATTTAAATAGCCGACATAGATCATTGTTATCTAGTGACAAAAAATAGATCAGTTTAACCTGGAAGACAATCCTGATGAAACGTCACAATTCATTAGAGCATAGCCACTGTAACACATGTGTTGAGAGTAGATTTGGCGCCATCTGTTGCTTGGTGTTTAGTTTAGTTTAGTTTAGCTCATTTAGGCAAGGAAATTCTTTTTACAGTCAGTGCAAAACATTAACAGACAATCGGGGGTTACATGACGTTAGCAATTACATAGACATACAAGCAGGCTGGAACATTGTCAGACAGATGTTATTCATTCATTCAGGGCACGTATAGCTGCAGGAATGAAACTCTTGCTGAACTTGGCTTTTTTGCACAGAGGTAGTCTGCACCTACGGCCGGAGGGCGGGGAATGAAGTATTGGTGGAGCAGATGGTCTGGGTCCTGTGTGATTCTAAGTGCTTTACGGGTCAGAGATGAGGTGACACTGTCAGATAGGTTAGGAATGATTTTGCTTGCCAGATGGGTTACTTTCAAGAGTTTGTTTCTATTAACAACCGTGAGCATGGGGAAGAAGCAGATGGCACCATACAACAGAACTGGCACAGTCACTGAAACCAACGTTTACTTCTATAAACCAGTGTTTCCTCTCACTGTAGTGGTGGAACTGGAGTGAAGCCATGAAGGCATTCCTGAGAGAACCACCAGACTGAAAACTGTTTTTTAAGAGTGTTGTGCCATCTAGTGGTGAATTGAAGACAATGCATAAGCGCCTGCTTAAAGGACCAAATCACTGCTTTTCAGTGTTATAGCTATCTTCAGTGGCCTACTTATCATCCTCCAAAATTATATCTATAATATTTTGAGTACATTTAAGTGTGACAATCTTTCTGATATCGTATTTATTTGATAAATACACTAGATTAATACACATAAGACCCACTACAAAAAATCACTAATTGAAAAATCCTCATTCATATCCTGTTGGGAGAGACTTTTTAGATAAAAAATCCAAAACGCTTCTCTCCTTTTTCTCATGAAGTTAACATTATCCCCTCTTTGATTTGGTTTAATAACTTCAATGCCTAAGAAAAACAGAGAAGAGAGAGGGTGATTCATTTCATTAAAGTGTCTCGCCACAGGACTGGTGAAGTCCTTTCTTTTAATGGCACTCCTATGTTCTGTAATTCGCTCTTTAAGGGATCGGGATGTTTCACCTACGTATATTTTTTCACATGGACATTTTATTAGGTACACCACAGTGACAGGGTGATTAAATTGTTTAATATTTTTTGGTGAATTTACAGTTTATACAGGTACCACACTTAAAATTGCCTTGAAGATGATTTATTGCAAGTTTGCTGTTTGTGACTTCAGGCTGATGGTATGCTTTGACCATTCTGTCCTTTATGTTTCTTCCTCGTTTAAAAGTGACCATAGGTGGATCAGTAAAAGTGCTTTTTAAAGCTGAGTCATTTTGGAGGATGTGCCAATGTTTTAGAATTACACTTTTAATATTTTTGTTTTTGGGTGTGAATGTAGTGCAGAATACAAGGTTCGGCTTAGGTTTTAAAGATTTCTTTATTTGTAGATATGCATTTCTGCTTTTTGAGTCTACCTTTGTTTCTGCGTTTACAAGCCATTCTTCTGGGTAATTCCTTTCTCTGAACTTTGTTAGCATCTCATTTTTACTTTCGTTATACTGTTCTGAGACAGCACAGATTCTATTTAGTCTGATGAGCTTACTAAACGGTAGACTTTTTTTGAGACGAATGGGGTGAAAACTTGCAGCATGAAGAAGAGTGTTTCGATGTGTAGGTTTTTGATATCTTATTATGGCATCTAACTTACTTGCTAAACTTATAGCAATCACTATTTACTGGAGAAAACAAAGCTTATCGAATATCATTGTAAAGTACAAAGAGTCACTTTCAGAAGAAAAAAAAAAGTAAGGAGGTAAGAGGTAAAAATTACTTGGAAAATGTAAACTAGTGAGATAAAAGTCAGAAGTAGATCAACTGACATGACAAGGAACAAAATGTGGTGACACTTTATTTTGATAGTGTTTTTAACACATAACGGTTTTTATTTCTGTTCTATATTTCACTCCAAAATCAAATATTTTTCCTCTTACCCATAGTGCTATTTGTCAGTCTAGTTTGTTTTGGTGTGAGTTGCTGAGCGCTGGAGATATGGAGATAGGATTTGTTTGTTTGACAGTAATGAGAGTAAATGAAATGTTTTACTTCCACCCTTGTAAATTACAGCCAGGCTTTTGTTTAAGACCCAGCACTGAAGCTGCCTTTTTTTTAACTATTTAAAACAATACCTCCCTTATATTACTTGACATCCCTTACGTCAGTGGTTCCCAACTGGTCCAGCCATGGAGTCCAGATTTCTCCTTAGTCATTACTTCACAGTCCACACAGTTGAATACATTCAGCGTCATACTTGTGTTTGGCCATGTTGTCGAGCTCTGTTAAGTAGCTGTCCATTAATCACTCATTCTACAGCAGGAAACAGCACTTCAAAATAAAAGCTCTGTGCCAGAAATTCACTGTACTTAAAAATAAAGTGTGTTTTTTACAAACTTGACATGTTTGTGAGTCACTTGTGGTCCATTCAGAATTAACATGTGACCCAATTCTGGACCACAACCCACCAGTTGGGAACCACTGCCTCATGTTATGTTATTAAGATGATTGATTTGTGCAGCATGTAACATTGTTTTCTGTCCAGGCTTCAGCAGCGAGCCAGGAGCCTGTTTGTCCTTGATTGTTTGCCTCTTATTGTGAAGCAGGCAGTGCCCTATTGTCATTGGGAATTTAGTGTCCTCACCAGCTGACCTGTGGTGTGCTGGTGTGCCCCAGGGCCCCTGTTCTGTTCTCCTGCATTTGTTCCTCGGTTATTCATTCAGTTGCTGCTTTCTTTAAGTTTTTGTGCAGATAAGCCTGCACATGGATTTTGACTGGCACTGCTGGGAAAGCACAGGTGTACATGATTTAACTAACGATGGCTGAATTACATTTAGCTGCTTGGATTGGTTCGATTTCACACCCTTCCACTTCCCCACACTGTCTTGGCTTACAGGGACACTTAAATACAACAGAGCCTTTGGATTCAGCACTTACTTTTAAATATTTTGTAGAACTTACAGCATTAAACTCCTCCCCTCCCCCATGTATTTTAGAGTTTATGTGTCCTCTTTTCACAGCAAGATCTCTCTACTGGCCAACTATCCCAAGACCGAGGCTGGAAAGACAGAGAGAGCTTTTGTGATTCTTGCCCACAGGCTTTAGAATATTGTTTACTTGGAGAAAAAAAAATGAAAACAGAGTGTCTTTTAATACCTCCCTGATATTGAACCTTATAAAAAAATGTACATACTATTGAACCTTATGCTCTACCATGTCCTTTGGCTGCACTTTAACCTTCTTTTTAACCACTTCATATACAGTACTTCTGTTGAATTCTGTGTTGGTTGGCGCAAGTGGCAATAACTCTCTTCAGGGATATTCATACTTAGAATAAAAAGTCTTAAGTGCCCCATGTGTGAGATGACTGAAGAATGTGCTTGTAAGGTGGAGACGCAGGTGGATCTAAACTGGAGAGAGACCTTAACAGAAACACAGCCATCTCCAAAAACCATTAACTATCAAACCCCACCAAATCTTGTAAGCGCTGATAAGCATGCTTATTTGGCACAAGCCTAACCCCTAACTCATGACATACAGGCACGAGGGCTGCACCCTGCAACATCTGCTACCAGCACATTCCCATATTGAAGCATTTACATACTGTATAAAACCGCTGCCTCGATTCAACCTTCAAGGAGTGAGATGATGTGTTTCAGATGTGAAGTCATCAGTATTCTCTGTGCTTTCTGAGGTATTTCTCTGGCATTGGCAGAACTCTTCTTAACTACGGGTTCCATGTGTACACGCAGCCCAGTTGGCAAAAGAAAATGCTGGCATTCTACATTTCTGCAAACCATAGATACATGACATTTCATACTTTGCATATCATTTCTGACATAGTTCTGATAAGATACATATGGGCTGAATTTGTCATTGGAATGTGAGGGGAGTGGTAGGCGTGACACCTAGATGAGATGGCTGCCAAGCTGCAAATCACTCTTTGTTTTTTAAGCAAGACATCGCTACATTCCCAGACATTATTGTGGCATCATAACCAAGTATTTTGAGCCCAAACATGATCTTTTCCAAGCCATAACTAAGCGGCTTGTGTGTACATAACCAGATCAACGACGGCGTTGTTGAAACATAAAGAAATGTAAAGTTTCAACCGCTACATATCTGTGATTTGCAAAAATGTACAATGCTAACATGTATTCTGCCGTTTGGTTTGGTACAAGAAATACATGGCTCAGATCGTACGCAATTGTTCCTCAAGAATCAGGGAAATTAAGTACTTCAGTGGTTCCCAACTGATGGGTTGCGGTCCAAAAGTGGGTTGCAGGTCCACATTGAATGGACCACAAGTGCTGCACGAATGTGTCAAATTTGTAAAAAAAAAAAATCACACTTTATCTTACAGTGAATTTCTGGCACAGAGCTTTTATTTTGAGGTGCCGTATCCTGCTTTGTTGTGTGTGAATAACAGACAGCTACTTAACAGAGCTCGATGACATGGACAAACGCAATTATGACGCTGCATTTATTCAACTCTGTGGACGTGAACTAATAACATAGAAGAAATCTGGACCCCGTGGCTGGACCAGCTGGGAACCTATGAAGTATTTAGTACCCAACTAAAAGACTAATTAAACAAACAGAAGATGACATTTTGTCAAGGGTTGTTTTTACTTGTGATCAGGCACACATTTGTGCTACAAAATTCTTTTACTCTAGTAAAATAATCTACATCGTCATTCTCCCTAATAGTTGGCCATCACTTCTTGCTCTTCTTCTCATGGAGCATGTAACACTTCTCACAGGCCATTGAGAGGCCGACGACGAGGGGAAGAAACTCTTCAAAGTCCAACTTATCATCTTTGTTTTGGTCTAAATCTTTCAAGATGCAGTCCACAGTTTTGGGGTTCTTCTGGGCCTGAAAGAACAAGTTCAGCATGCAGTAAGTTACACGTGTGCATTGATCAGTGCTGAGGATAGAGGTTAGATTTGATGGAAGGCAGAAGATTCTTACTTTCAGGAAGGTGGGTAACTCTGCCTCCAATAGTCTTTTCAGTTCCTTCTTGGTTAAGGTCTTTTCATCGCCGTCTTCTTTGGCATAGCGGTGAAACACCATAATCAGGGACTCCATGCTCTTCTCCAACTCAGTCATGGCTGCAGAAATGAGTGCTGAAAGGAGGTAAGACACATCTGAGTAAAAATCTTATGGGATATATGTTTCTTTTTGTCACAACAGTTATCTGACAGAATCATATTTTACATACAGATAAGAGCTGTTCCCTTCCCTCGAACTGCACCTGGACTACTTACAACTTTTTAGATTACCATCTGAATTAACTGTGAGGTGGAACTTCATTAGCTTATAACTGTTACTTCTGCAAAATGTCTAACACTTTGTCTAACAAGTGCTTTTACTTTTTGTACTTTAAGTATATTTTGAGGCCAATAATATTTTTTTAATGTAGGACTTTACTTATAAGCGTATTTCTACACTTGTTGTATTACTACGTTTGCTTGGGTAGAAGAGCTTACTGTAGGCGACATTGGCAGCCACCACAGGGCACCACCCAAAGAAGGGGTGCATTAAAAAAAAAACAAGCATTAGGGAAGTAGTGGAGTGTTTGTGAAGAGCATTAGAGTAAGAGAAAATGAAAATGTGCCAATTTGTACATACCATATTCAGTTATTGTTGCTGTTAACTATGTTGTTTATTTATTTATTTTTCATTAGCTCTTGTTCTCTTGTTCTGCTGGTTAGTGATAAATACAATACGTACAAAATATACAACTACTTCTATTAACAATAATAAAATAATAAAATGTGGGGTGAGGGGGCTTGTCCAGGGCCTCTACGTCTGGCACTGACCAAAGCTCCTTCATCCAAAACTAACATTGTTAAGTGAGGATGTGGGTGTTGGTCGTGCTGGCGCTCGGAGCAAATTCTTGCCGTTAGACATCATATTCTGGCTCATGTGCTAAAAATCCTTATCTCAAGCCTCCCACTCTTCCTCTCCCTTTGCCTTTCCCTTCCATTTCACCATTTTCTGTCTGAGTTCCCAAAAAAACTGAGGTACACAGAAACTGAAGACAAAGAAGAGTGAATTAACTTCATGGGAAGATAACAGAAACAGACGCAGGACGAGCCGCTACTTGTCAGACGCCGTGCATAATGCGCTAAAAATGCCTGCGCCCACCCAAGAAAACATGCTGAACACAGACTAAACCTTAAAAGCAAAAAAAGCAGCTTCTGCATGCAGCCTCAAGTGAAATAGTCACACTGTGAAGAATACGCTTCAATCTTTATCATGAATTATCAGCTGTCTGTAAATACGCATCTTGAAGTAGTGGTGAAATGTGCGTCAAAGTAAATATGCCAGACTTACCAGGACACAAAGAAGCAGAGGCGGTGGTTTGAGATTCAGTGAAGAGTGCAGGAGCTCAATGGAAGTGTACTCAAGAATTTATAGTCAGCTAGGCAACGCCCAATATGATGGGAGGGAGAGGGAGGGATATGGACACAGAGGCACAGAGAGAGCGCAAATAACGTTAAAAGGCCATGAGCAAACACTATCCCTGCCCATGCGTTCCCACAAGACTGTCACTGCAACAGATACAGACACAAATCCATGTGTGACCTTTTCTTCTAGTGCAAGTTTTTCTTCCCCTTTTTAGTTTTAAGATGATGTCATCTTTAGATAGAAAAATTCAGGTCCAACTTCCGCATATGGAAAGTATGCAACAAAAAAAGGTTTGTGGGTTGTAACAGCACAGTAACATGAAGCAGACATCTCTTGTAGGACGCTGGGACATGTTAAGTGCGGGCAAGTCTGGGCCTATAGACGGCCTGAGTCAAGATCTTTTGTGAGGGGGTTTTGGGCTCCAGAAGTGGCTTCTTCTGCTTCGTGTGTGAGAGAATCAATTGCACTATTATATAATAAAAGTTTAAATGTATTTGCCACCAGGCCCTGTCTGATTTCAAACAGCCAACTCATATGGTATTGATTTATTTTGACTTTGATTAAAATATGATAAACAGTTATATTAAACATCATTTTCAGTGTTTATCTAAGGAAGTTCCACTCTCTTTGTCAGGAACGCCCTGTTCACACTGACACCAGGAACAACCACAGCATGAACTGTTGGCCACTGTGCAGTTCACTGGAAGGGCTGGAGTTTAACTATTGCCCAAAGGGAACTTCAGTGGTTTTATCTTCCCTGTCCACATTTGTCTGATGATCTAAGCCCTTTTTTCTAACTCTTATGCCATAGTATATAAATCTATAAAGCATACATTTTTAACATGACCATTTTTTTTTTTTACCAACCCTAAGAAAGTCACTTTGCCAAAAAAGTATACACATCCACCAACCCTCTTTGACGCAAACAGTTACATCACCTGCATGTAACTTCATGTTCACATCGTCAGAGTTGTTAACATTCTTGTCAGTACAGCCTTTACACACCAGTCTACTCCTGACGATCATGAAGCAGCTGTGGTTTAGTTACTTTGTCAGGGGGGATTTTTTAATCACAGTTGGTGGAAGAGGAAGAGAAACAAGCTCTGACGCCTTGTCCCTCCCCTGACTTCTCCTAAACAGAAGAGTAGTTTTAGGATTCAACCACACCTTACCTGAACAAACACACTTGGCATTTGCAAACTAAACAACACTGGCTGGACAGAATAAAAAAAACACATTCAGGGTCTTTTCCAAAGTTTAATTACAAAATGAATTAAACAAAAAAGCAACTTGATGCGCTGATGAATGAACAGATAACGTGATGGTGTGATTGAATCTCTTTGCAATCAGTGTAAAAACAGTGCTGAGGAAAATGTCATCAGTGGAATGTAGATAGCTGCTTTTTTCATGGCCTTAATTCAATTAGAGATCACTGTAAAAAAATAACTATGCGCGTATAATGGTTACAAACTCGTAGTCACTGAACTGATCATCACTTTCCGAGTGATCTTTAAAAAGCCCGCAGAAGTGCACCAAGGGTAATGGATGTAAGACATTATTACAAAGTATGCAACTGCTTCACTGGATGCAAGTGGGATCAAACGGATTCATCAGTTCTTCCTTTTGCCCTTGCTGGCAGCTTTGGCTGGCGTTACTGCAGGAACAGCTGCTTGGTACAGAGCGGCAGATACTTTGTTGATGTAGTACAGGGCGAAGAGGGAGAATATCAGGCTGGAGTAGAGAGAAAGAAAAAAAGCAATGGAATGAAATACATTTGGCAAATTCTTTTAACTGGGTTGTGTGAAGTTGAAATAGGTATTTGTGATCTGCACTCTCACATACCATGTGGTGACACAGACACGGTGTACCAGACCAGAGGCAAACAGCGACAGGCACAGGCACAGCAGAACTGAGAGTTGAGATTTGAAGAACACAAGTGAGGAGCAGCGTCTGAGTGATATATCAAAGCGCTGATATTGCGGGCTAATGCCAGATTAAGTGTGCATACCGTTGGTAAAGTGGTATGTTAATTCACTTATTAAATCGCTGACCGACTGTGTGTTAAAAGGGTTAACTCCTATTAGGAAAGGCCGACATGCTGATGTACGGGATATGCTTTGATAATCAAGTATGTTCATGTTTCAGTGTAAGCAGGGCTGACATGTGACTCCACAAGTCATAAAAGAAATATGAGGCTAAACATCAAGTGAACAAATAAAAAAGGACGCTGTAGACTGAAAGCAAGTGTTTGATTTCAGTGCTGTCACTAGGGATATCAATCAAGGAATGGTTCTGGTTGAGAATCGGTTTCAAATTGTCCAGCCCGTCTGAATTGTATATCTCCAAGCTTATTAATTCCTTTAATCGATGCTGGCATGTTTATCCTGCTGGAAACTTGGAAAAAGAAGGAGTCATGGTGGAGAGGAAAAAATTTTCCCAAGCATAATTTCATTTCACAAAATTAATCAGACATCAATAAGAATAAATAAAATAAATAAATAATTGGTGCTACTTACTCTCTGGGAATATCTTGGCTTGGAATCCCTTCCCAAAAATCAGGTTTTCCAGATTATTAAATGCCTGGAAGTACAGTTAAGGTGGAACACTCCGCAGTGTGATCTCGCACACATGAAATCAAGCTGCTCAGAGAAATCAGATGAGGCAGAAAATGGGACTGGAACTTTTTCCTGGAGAATGTGTGCTTCACAGACAACAACATAACAGCACAGGCTAATCATCAACAAAATGCTACTTTAAATAAAGCATGAAATATTAAGAATCTCGTAACATGGATTGAAACAGTTCACAAGGATACAGTGAGGGAGCAGAGGAAGAGGACTGAGCCCAGGAAACCTCCCAGGATGGTGAGCCACTCAGTCGATCCCAGCTGCTTACTGAACATCTGCATGCCAGCAAACACCAGCACGGACAGCAGACTGGACAGCACTAAAGACGTGCCAGTGTTCACTGCTATGAGACAAGGGAAAGTGTTTTATTTGTGCAAGAAACAGACGTCTCTCCTTGGCTCTGCCTTCCCCATGCTCCTTCTTACTTTTCTGTCCATCTAATCTTAACCTAATCCCTGAATATAATCATAGTTATGCATCTTACACTCTCAGTCTGTGCTCATGTCAAACATTTTTGTCTGTGTTCTGTATATGTGTTATCTTATTCTGCACATTTTTAGCACATTTGGCTAATGTTGCTAATTTTTATATTTCTGTACGTGTCAGATTTTCTGCTTGTAATTCTCTGTATGAAGTCTAACTCACCTCTATATGTTTTTGCTTCTTGCTAATGTTGCTCTCCACTGTTTCAAGGCATGACCAGCTTACTGCTATTATTATTATTATTATTATTATTCATATTTTTTTTATATTTATTGTTTCAGTAATTAATGATATTAGTCCCCCCAAGTATCATTTTGTCATGTGGATTACCGGAATTTGATGAGGTTGGTCTGTTTTGTTCATATGACATCTATTGGATGTCTGTCTGTCCTGAAAGAGGGATTCCTTCTCAGTTGCTCTTACATGTTAAATTTTTTTTTTTTTGGGGGGGGGGGTGTTTCCTTATCTGCTGTGAGGATCCAAGGACAGAGGGATGTTGTATGCTATAAAGCCCTGTGAAGTGAATTTTGATTTGTAATATTGGACTTTACAGATTAAACTGATATTGAAATTGAACTGAAGTTACTATTTGCACAGCCCCTTGAGGCAGGCTTTGTGACTGGGCTACAATGAACTTTGACTTGACAAACCTGTACAGCACTTTGTGTTGCCTTTGGATATGGAAAGTGCTTTATAAATAAATTTACCTTGCCTTGCCTAATCTAAATACAGATGCATCCCATCAAGAACAACTGAAGCTAGTCTTGACACTGATGAAAAACTCAGGGGTAGTAATCTATCAGTAAAGACAGTTTGGGGGACTCCAGCATTAATGTCACTTATCAGATACTAGTTGTACTCTGCTTGACCTCATCTGAAGTTAAGTTTGATATGAAGACACTTATAGGTGAGAACAGGATGCAGACTACTAGTATAACATTAACTGATGTTCGTTTCAGGCACAAATAAGACTATGATGAGATGCATGTGTTAGAAATACTCTCTGCTGTATAGCATCATCATCTAAGTTATTATATAATCAGTCTGGAGAGATATTACTTTCAAAGTGCGGTTAATATATCAGCTTTCTAGCTTGGATCACTGACCATCTAACTCTTAACGTAAAGCCACGTCAGTGTTCGTCCATAAACGGTTCCGTCATATTAGCTTTGTGCTAAACAACTAACGTTAGCAGCTAAATTATCCAGCTAATATCATACTGTTCAAACACAGAATAATAAAATGTGCTCCCGTGCTGTTTTATAGTGATACTACATACAGTAAAAATGCTGCTGAACTGTCAGTCAATTAGGAGTAACCTATCTCTAAACATTAGCGTTAGCTTGCTAGCTTGACCATAGAGCTAGTACTGGGCGCTAACATCTTATAACGTCTACTCAAATACAAACGCCACTGGTGAGTTTGCTTGAATGATAAATTATTCGTGCAATACATACCCATGGTATACTGTTAATTTAGAGTCCCTGTAGTGACGCCGAGGTGAATTAGGTTTAACTTGGTGAAGCCAGCTAAGTGTCCCGGCTCTAGGAACTAAAAGCTCACAACCCGGACCAAATGACAGGTGGGACAAGTGGGCGGGGCCATGGAGGGAGGAAGAGAAGAGCTTTCATGGACTTGTTAGTCTGACTTCTCTTTTTAGTCTAATTTTACTAGTGACTGAACCACAGTTTTAAAAGTAATGGTACATTAATTAATTAAGCATTGATTTATAGAATTAATAATGATGGAGCGTGCAGCCTCAGCCCTGCAGGGGCTTTATACAGATGGTTTAGATAGACCATGGACAATCATCAAAGAATATACAAAGAGGCATATGATTTAGTTTATGAACTGTTATGTATGTTAAAGATAAGCCAGTACTAGGAATAAGATTCTGAACCCTTTAAGCAGAAGGCAGAAACTCCCTTAAGACGGAGTGTTGATATAATAATCTCTTAAACAAGTAT